AGTTATTGCATGTTATGTTGTAAATGACGTTGGTATTATGTGATTCTAAATATTTTTTGTTTAGTAATTATTTTAATTTAGGGCCGGGATTTTGAGAGAATTTGATGTTGACAGGAATTTTATGTTTAATGACTAGTTTTGTCCAAGTGTGGATTATTTTTGACTTGGTTTCAGGGACAAAAGGTAAACTACAGTGTAATGTTCTATTGTTGGGTTTGTTAGTATCAATTTTGTTCGTAAGTTGAGTTTTGTTGTGGTGAATATTGGAGAGTTTTTCGATAATAGCTGGTGGAAATTTGTTGATTTGAATGAAGGAATGCTTTATGTGGTTGATTTGTTCATCTATGTAGTCCGTTGAGCAAAGTCTTATGGCTGTGTTTATGAGGTTTTTCAGTGTATTGATTTTTTGTGTGGAGTCATGAGCGGAATGGTAGGGGGTGTAGAGGCCGGTGTGTGTGTTCTTACGGTGAATTTTGGTTTTAAACTGTGTGTCCGATCTAATACTGTTGAGGTTAAGAAAAGATAACTGTATATAGTTTTCGTGTTCTTTGGTAAATTTGATGTTAGGATGAATGGAGTTTATGTGTTCAAAGAAAGTGAGTGTGTGTGTTCTGTAGAAGAGAAACCAGCAAAAGTTTGTTTTACAGTTTGTATGTTTGTACTTAAGCACAAAGCTACACAATGGGCTATCTGTGTTCTGGTTTCTAGCGTTGTAATTCCGCAGACATGTAATTTCCATTTTTATGAGTCCGTTTCAAATAGAGAAAATGTAAACCACTACTTATGTGAGACTACTTAAATTAGTAATAAACTGAACAAGTAATAAAAAAAAATTTTGTAAGTGTAAAGTGATGTAGGGACAGCAGTACCATAAAGAATTCAGACAAGAATATAAGAATGATACAGATATAGAAATATCATCCCTACATGACTTTCGATAATAACATTCAATGTTACACTGTAAATGCACGAGTACGAAATGGTTACGAGGTCGGTCATTTCGGCCGATCTCGTAGAGAGAGTCTGTAATAGTCTGTCATAATCAAGACATGTCTTGACTCAATTTGGATTTCCTTGTACGTAAGTCCTAGGCTCTTAGTTACACTAATTGATGCCTACCTTGACATGACCATGATATTATGATAAACAAACTGTGTGTCAACAGTCAGAAATATATAATTTCCAAATGTAGTAATATTAAAGTCAAATATGCATTTTACAGTGTAACATTAAATTTTGATATTGAAAGTTCATATAGGGATGATCTATGTATAGATATATGAATTTTCTTGCTTACATTTATTTTGACACTGCCATCCCTACATCATATTACATTTACAAAATATTTTTAATCCTTGTCTTGTGACGTTTTTTCAATGACTGAAAGTTAGTGTGTTATATGAATATATGTAATAAAATTTAATATCATGTGTGTATTGATTTTTTTGCCCCTTCACTTCATACATGATATAGGGGTTGGTTCCCTAAAGACACTGATTGTATAGTGTAAGGAGCATTGAGTATTCAACATGTTACAGTCATCTAACATTCATCTATAATTGGCTGGTAATTCCTATTTCAACCTGTACTTAAGCAAAGGAACACCAGATTTTTTAAAAGAAAGCGCACTTCAAGGGGTATATGATAACATCGTTTACACCAGAATTATGGTATTTTTTTAATTACTGATAGTTATTGTAATTAAACAATAACATCGTGCACTGCCCAGAAATACATAGAGTGGACTTAGATTTAAACTGACGTTAGTGATAAAGTAGTTGTAAAGTTATCTCGACTGAAACAACAAGAGGAAATATGAACAATTTGGTGGGTTGATCACTTTCTGGTTTGGTATCTTAGCAATGGTTTCTTGCCTTGTTTTGAGGCTTGTTGAGTATGGAAACAAATGAAAGTGAGTCGCAATAATCTTTTAAAGTAAAACTATCTGTCATTGTTGATTTTTAGCGTGCATATTTGTATTATGCCTATTGAGTACCTTGGCCATCGATACATGTTGTCTAAAAACTCCATGATAAAACTTACTTATAGCAAAATACCGTCCATCTCTTAATGACTTACATTTTATAGGCATCTCTAGACGTAAAATTATTCTAAATAACTTCATTTAACATTCAGCTAAGAATAGTTATATTTATAATCTGATGTCTCGTGCAACTTGTAAGTTGCTACTTTCTTAACATGTTCTATAATCTGTACTTCCTTTCGTTACCGCTTTACTGAATATTTTGAATAAATTAGTTATTGAAGTTACTATAAAATTAGTTAATAAATGCAATTATAATATTATTTCCAGATTTCGCTGTTTCGGGTTAAACTTTAATTAAGGCTCTAACTTAAGTTTTAGAAAACTGGAACTTATACTGCTATTATGTTTTTATACAAAGAAGCTAAGTTAAAATTTAACTAGTGTATAACTAAAGTTCTAGAAAACTGGAACTTGTTCTGCGGTTATATTTTTTATTATTCTTTATATGCGAGATTGTTTCAAGTATAAATTGAGATAATCTGCTACACTTTGATGAAAGTAAAATATGTGCTAACTGACCAGATTTTTTATTTATTTTTATTAGTACTATCGTTTCTCCTCTTCATTGAACTTCGACGTTCTAGCATATGTTTTATGGAATATAATTTCGTTATTTTGATAAACAAAGCATATAACTGGAAAAAAAGATAAAAACTCTTTTATGTATATCTTTATTTTACATTAAAATAGTAAATAAAGAAAAAATCATTAAGTCATTATATTCACTTGTGCTAGATGGCGTTAGTAGCAATGCAAGTTCATATTTTAGCCAAAGCAATTTATGTTAATGGGGGGAGGTCAGAATGACATAGAACAAATAATTAGTAGTTAGTTGGAATTAGCTAACACATACAGTATAATAACTGCTTAGTAATGTATTGGGCACAAAAAGAACACTTATAAAACACCTCTGGAAATATATCTAAATAATGTAATGACCTTGAGCTCATATAAACGTTAAAACAGCAGAAGTTATTTAATATTCAGCGGTGGACGGTACAACTTTACACCAACAGCGAGCTCGTGTACTGTGTATGAATAATGGAGGATGGACAGTGGCGTTACTATTAAGCTTATTATAAATATAATACTGATGAAGATGTATAAATAGTATAGTTATAAAATAGAGGCAACATAAACTGAAATTTCACCGCAGGAAAGTTGGAAACCATGACTAGAAAATCTTGCATTGTGGTATTTTAATGTGACTGTGTATTTTTCTTTTTTAGTTATTTACACAAGTATAAGTTATTAGTCTTACTCGGAGTTCTGTAAAAGTATAAGTTCTTAATGCATGTATTTACACCATAACTGTACATATTTGACCATTAACATTGGACAGTGTGTGGCAGGGGTGAAATCCTCAAACAAGAAGTAGAGGTACTCAGCTGGGTAAAGTTGGAACTTTTTTGAAAAAGAATAAAAAAATCTATGCGTAAATTTAAAAAACAAACGACAAAACAGTTCAAATAAGTCCTAGTACTAATACTGCATTAAAAAAGTAAGTTCTGGTGCACAGTACCGGTGAGAACCAACATAATTTTGCCCATGGTGTGTGGTGTACTTAAAAGTTAAACCCTGTTACTGGTAGATTAAAGTACATGTAGTTTATGATATATTTCTTATTACTAGTATTAACATCTAGGGACTTTATACCTCCTTTTTTTCTTTATCTTTTTATTTAGACATATTGTTATGATGGTTTGGCATAAAAAAATACTGAGCTGTAGTTTCAGTTAAGAAACAACCAACTAGAGAGTGTACAGTGCAACAGGATGAGTAATGTTAGATCATTTTATACAGAAATAAATTTAATCTTTTTTTTTATTTTTTTAACCAGGTGTTTTGTGAATAATTGCTTTACCCCCTTTCTAAGCTCATTAAAAAAAATATTTAGCTTGATGCTTAAGAATATCAATATGTCTTGTTACCCATTTACTGATGATTTAGTAACACTACTAATAGCAGAAACCTGTAGTTATTTAATTTTTCAAAGGATAGCAAAAGACAATTACATTTATCTAAGCTATTCCATTTTTGACTACCACCCTCCAACATAAAAAAAAAAAAAAGTATTTCCAGTGCTGATGTCTAAAATACTAATCCAATCTTGTTATAATTTCTTTCGTTGTTGCAGTTCACTAAATCTGAAGATAAACTCTTCCTTAGGCCAACTACTCTGTCACAGAAGTAATACTGTCTTTACTGGGTTCATGCCTGAGATTTTCTGTACCTTAAATTTGTGTCCTGTGATTTTGGTTAATGTCTGTCTTCTGGCACCTCAACAAACTTAATTAATTTTATGAAAAATTTATGTTAGTGACCCATAAATCTGGAAAGTCATCTGGAATCTTAATCATGTCCTTCTGAACTCTTTACTTCTTCAACAGAAAGAAGTTGTGATTTCAACCTATACATGTAGGATAGTCCCTCCAACACTAAAATTATCCTAGTAGGTCCTATCTGAATTTTTTTTCCAAATATTCAACATTCGTTCTTAAATATGTTTACCAAAACTGAATACAATACTCATAGTAAGAGAAACATCATCATTTTAGAGAGAAGTGATGACCTTCTTAGATTTGTACTAAATATTTATATGTATACAATCTAAAATCCTGTTTTTCTTATTACTAGCTTACATGCTACCTAGAAGACTAGAAATTATGTGCTAACAATGCATAATATTTTTTTCTCATCAGTTTCACCTGGACGTAGAGTTTCCCTGCAAGCCTGTTAAAAAAAAAAAATGTTTATGATAACAAATATACATAACCTTTTGCTAAAATTTTGAAAAGGCATTTACCAAGTACAAGCCCACCTCATGAAATGACCCAAGTCTTTAGAAAGTTTGTGCCTATTTCAAGCAGATCAAGGCATTAAAGCCAGAAGGAATTGTGGATTAAATTCTCTTTCAGCATCTCTTCCACTTCTAGTTCCAAAGTTCAAAGAAAATTATTTGAAAGGTTATTGGGAACTGTATGTCCCATTCCTTCTTAATATTGCAACCCAATGACCAAGAAGATACTGATTTACAGGTTGTTGCTAACACCCTTGGAGAGTGCTTCTTGCACAGCTCAAGCACCTCTACTTGTTCCCTTGCCTTCTTGATCATCAAGACATGGACCGGAATAACCCATTCATCTTTTTTTGGCCAAATTGTCTTTATTACTGTAATTGACCACTCATTCTGGTGGGACTTAAACTTGCTCTTTGTTGATGTAGTATTACATCAGTTGGACTAGCTCTCTTAGCCTATCTCAAACTGGATCTTTTTTACCTGAGTTTGATAGGAAGAAGAATTTCCTGATTTATGGCATCGAGCTATCATCATCCCATTTTCTAAACTTAAGAATGATCCCATGATTCCTTCTAATTGCAGACTTACTGCTTTGACTAGCTGTCTATGTAATGTTCTGAAGAGTTCTACTTTATTTTGATGATTCATTGTACACCAAAACTGTTTTTGAATATACAGTGCGAGTTACCTCATCACACATTGATAGTAAAGTGTTGTTTGTGCATTTTTTTTTCATAGATAGTCATATCACGGTGTATTATATTATTACTGTTTGATCTTTTCTTTTTGATAGCTGCCTGATGATTACAAAGGATATGATGTGGACTATTTTTGTGTTCCTCATCATTATGAAGATTCTTTAGACTCTATTTTAATTCCTAGTGGATTAATACAAGACAGGTTAGTGTCATATTACAACAGAAATTGTTCTCAGGGACCACTCTGGGCTTAGCCAAACTCTCATTTTGAAAATTTTTTTGAAACCACTAAGATTTCAACATTAGTGTTTCATTTCTATCATATTTACAACATGGAATCTTTACAGTACAAGTAAATTTTCACAGACAGTTAATGTCATCTGCTTAACTTTTGTCATTATAATCTTAGTAAACATACATGTGAGAACTGTAATAGACTAAGCAATAATTTGTTTTTTAATTTTGTACGAATATTGTTAAAAATTCCACTAAATATCTTTGTTAGTCTAACATAAATTAGCATCAAAGTTTAGAAAAAATGTTTTGTTTGATGTTATGTTAGGGTACTTATGATAAATTTAATCAAACAAGACTAATTCTCTAAAATGTTAAGAATTTTGTTTGATTATTTAATGATGTGCTGGTAATTAAATTTGTATGCTATAAATTTACTTTGTTCTTTTAAGGAATAGGAACTACAATGTAAACTCTGAAATGGTGTTACATATACTGTACAACAGTGAAAGACCAGAGTACTCTCTTGTATTGCTTTAATGAAATCAATTCAAATTAAGTTGTATTTAATATTTCAACATTATATGAAGTACCTTTTCTTGTTTGTTTGTATCTTGTACAACTTTGTTATATTTATACTACTTTTATTGTACTTTATGTTTAAAAAAAATAACCTAACCAATAGTTTGGCACAGATCATTTATCTGACTTTTTGCCAAAAAATATTTCTAGAATGATGAACTGAATTTAATAATCACGAATACAAGGAAAATCAAATTTTGATTAGTTACTATTGTATAGTCTGAAATACTAACCATTACAGTGTAGGGAATTTCATAAAAATGGGCCATTTTATCTGAAACCAAATATTTTTTAAACAAGATGTATAGCTACAGAATTTCTGCCCCACTGTCACCTAGAATTACCATCATTTTCACCATCTTCTGCTTCTTGCCACTCCCTATAGTCATCTTAAAGGATGGCTACTATCTGATGTACCTATAAAATTCACGATCACACAGTGTTGGCTATCATTCAACACTTGCCATCGCCATGATTGCCAACCCGATGCTCGAAACTGAGCTTGGTGCCATCTTTTAAACTACAACCTAAAGATTTCTGTTGTGGGAGACTGCCTAGACATTTGTGTAACATGGCAAAAATCGATCATGCAGTGGTAAAAAAAAAAAAACTGATCCTATCAGCTGCTTCATGACTGAAAGGCAAGAACCCTATACATAAACAAACAATACACAATATCAATATAATTGCAACAACAAGTTAATAATCAGCTATGGAACATGTGTCATGCCTGCCATACAAACATTACATTACATCCACAGTCTGCACATGGCTATATACATATGCATGTAGTACATTATGAGGCTCCATATGAACCACAGACTGCATTAAAATGATTGGATGTTGAAGTTTGTACAGGTGCTGTTATTTCTTAATTAGTCAAATAAACTTTAATATTATCCTTCAAAATGTGCAATGATAAATTTAGTAATATTGCTCAAGATGTATTACAATAATCCTAGCCATTTTTGTTGCAGGTTGGTGGAACAATATTAAATAATAATAATAAAGAAGAAATGGGCAATTCCATTTTTAAAAAATTCACCTTTTCCATCTACCATTCTGAAGTAAATTGGAAATGGAATATTTTTTTAGGTGGTTCTACATATATGTTTTGTAATATTCAAATTACATTTGTACCAAATTCCATGCTTTTTTTACACCTTTTGCCCAAAATGTGAGAAAATGCTAGAATCCAGTACAATGTAAATGTACCATTATTTTACACTACTCGTCTCTCAGAACCATGTTAACAATAGAAAAATTTTAACAGCAAAAATATTATCTGTAGTATATATGTCATTTTATGTTGGAAAAAAATTAAGGATTTTTTTGCTTTTGCCTAAAAATCATTTGGTAATGTCGAGTAAAAGCTACAAACTGTAATTTTGCTCATATAATGTGTTTCGTTTCCAAAGGATAACAAGGGGTCACTTAGCCTATCTGGGCTACCCAATTTTCTGCTATTTCCCATCTCCAAACTACATATAGAAACCTCTTTCCTGTATCAAACCCTAATCTCTAAAATACTAATCCTTATAAAACTCCTTCAGCATCTATCACAGTTGAAAGCAAACCATTGGCTGATCACCCTAGTAGGAAAGTAATATTGCCTTAACCGCAATCATGTGTGTTTTCCATATCTTAAGCTTGTTTCTTTTACTGCCTGCAGAGTATTTTTTATGAAGAGATCATCTAAGGTTATGGATTTTGAACGTATGACAATCATGAGCCCTTTTCCTCTCCAGTGAAATATGTCAAGAAATTTCAATTTATCCATATATGATTAGTCCCCCAAACCTGGGATCATTTTTGTGAGGGGATTTGAATGCTGTTTATAGGAAACTTTTAGGGAATTGTTTATTGCAGCATGTATTTAGTAGGATTAATTTATATCAAAGTTTTACTAGACATTATGAAGTGGTCCGTAGGAACATAGTTCTTAGTGGGAAGTGTGTTTTAAATATCTTAATGAACAAAACAGATAAGCTTTTTAAAATCTTAAATACATTATCAATCTTTTCAAACAGAAAGCAGCCCCTCTTTTAAACGTTTTTTTTTAAATATAATTAAGCATCTTCACCTCATAACTAAAACTCTGTGTAAATAGGTGATTAATCCTTTTCTGCTAGTTTAAAAAAAAAGGGGGCTTACAATTACTTTTTTATTTTAGTGAATTTGCTAGGTTTTGCTAACTTTGTCTCGCAGTATGTGTTAAGAGATACGTGCTTTAAGAGAAAAAGAACAGCATGCACGCACACACACACTTGTGACTGGTTATTTATTTTGTATTTATTTTTCTAATTTAATTATGTTTACACTCCAGTCTGCACTCTGCTACCTTAATTTTAAAAGATTTTTGCTTTAAGATTTGAAAATATTCCAATTGTTTGAAGGGTATTGGTTGTGAACTGAAGCAATATAAAATACTGTCATAAGAAACAAGTGTGTTTTAATTTGTTTAGCTTATTGACCTTTTGGAATGTGTGTAAAGAAGTAGAATTTGGATCAATCTTGATTTTGAAAACTTTAACACGTATAATTTGAGGCTTATTTCTTGAAACTGTATTTGAAATAAAGATTTTAAATTGATTTAAAGTAGTTTAAGTTACTTGGTGGGCTGAAAAATTACCAAATTCTGTGTTTGGATTGATAATGCTAACAATAGGTGAAACAAAAATCCTTAAAACCTAACTATCATGTAAATGAATGGTTTGAACCTTTCTTCTTAATGTTCATATAATCATTCACCAAAACCTTGAACGAAGTTACAAAACATGCTACTTTGTCAGGCAAGCTATTCTAGAAACCTACAGAACATCTAAAAAAAAACAAGTTATAATAATAACAAGTTTTTCTCTAATATTGTACTCTTTTAATTTGATGCTATTTGGAAAATGAAAGGCAAGCAGCTTTTCAGAAACACAACTGCAACAAGTCATTTGTTCATAATACTTTCAACTCAAATTCATTAAACCTAAGATTGAAATTATTTTGCCTCTGTATTTTTCATTTAGAATTGAGCAGTTAGCTCGAGATATTGCAGTTGAACTTGGAAAAGAACCATTTGCAGTTCTTTGTGTACTAAAAGGGGGTTATAAATTTCTTGCTGATCTTTTGGAAAAGATAAAACAATATTATCGCTTCAGCTCTGAAAACTCTGTCCCCTTTTCAGTATATTTTATTCGCCTACAGAATTATGAGGTAAGGAGTCAATATTTTGTTCTTATGATTTGAACTCTGGTGTACTACATAAATTACTGGTATTATATTCTTTATAGAAACTTAAATATTTAACAAAAAGGCAATGTGTATTGGTTAGTGTCTTAATTTGTTTCATGTGACTTTTTATCAAAAACTTGAAGTATTTTAATTTTAGAAACTTTTTTTTTATAAAATGTTGAGTGCATGCTTTACTGTTTTTCCTATTTTGATACAATCATTAAAAAAAATTTGCCAGATATATGGTTTCACTTCACAATATACTTCAAAGTTCACATGGACCAAGAGGTGATTACTTTTGAAAGCTAAGACAATATTCTACCTTAGCACATCCAACAATTTCCCATTTGTTTATCACATTGCCACAGTATATTATAGGATGAGTGAGTGAGCCAAATTGTCTGGACCCTATATACCAATAATTCAGTATCCAAAATTTCCCCTTTCAGGGTTCACAAACTTCTTTTATCATTTTATGTTGACTCCAACTGACCTTTTATAAACTTGATACAGTATCACATGCATATTCAGTGGAGACTGACACATTATTATCTGGAAGTGTGTTGTGTTGGTATTTTTAGCACATGTACGTGCATTAATGCGTTTTTCCCAATAAATTTATGCACAGTGACAGTCAGTAAAAAAAAAAATTGCATTTTAATACAGTTTGTAAACCCATAAACATTTTCTTTTAATGATGTTGATAAAAATTATAGTATCAGTAAAATAAAGGCTACTATTTATCTGTCAGTAAAAACAAAATTTTAAGGTTGTCCACCCTGTTATATCTGTCTTTTAAAGTACTTTTTGTTAAAGTTAAGTAAAAGATTTCTTTTCTAATTATCAAAGGATAACCATTCAACAGGAAAAGTAAAGGTTATGCGTGTGGATGGACTGTCTTTTCTACAAAACAAGGTACTTTTATGTTTCATTTAACAATTTTGTTTTAAACATCTATTTCAGTTACCCAGATAATATTTCACTATAAAATGCAACACTTAAACAAAATATTTCACTAATAATGAACAGTTTGTTGGTAGACATTGTCAAATGTTAGCAAACTTTTCAGTGTTTCTGGGCCTTAATAATAATAATAAATAAAAATATTTTCATAATTTGTTTTTGCCAAAAATAGCTCCAGATAGTTCAATTAATAATTATACGTGATTACATAATTTTAAATATTGTGTCCTTTATATAGAATACTATGTTTTGTTTTTAATCACAACCACCTTAACTCTTCCTAAATTATGAAAACTCATTTTAACATTTTGGTTTAATGCTAATCAGTATTAACTTAAAAAAGACATTGAATTACCACAAAAACAAATTTGGTTTGGCTTATCAGTCTCAGATTCGTTTTTAGTATCGTTTGAGCTTGTAGAGAAAATCTTGTAATTATAACTGAAGTATTATTTTGTACACTTGAGTAAGTGCCAGGGTAATATGACATTGAATAAGTTTATATAAAAGAAATAGGAAAAATATGTCCATTTTGTCATAATTACTTTATTGACCATGCTTGGGAGTTTCCCTCACAATTCAACTGGACCTATGAGTAAGAAACTTTTGGAAAAAGAGTGAATGTTGTAGATTAAGAAAAGAAGCCACATCAGGTTGGAAGTGTGGCAAAAACTTATTGAATTTTGTTTATTTTTGATTTATTAGATAAAATTAGTAACTTTGCAAAACTTTTAATTTAAGATGAAATCCTAATTAGGACCGTGTGATGTTAGTTCCCACAGAGTTGCCTATTTTAGCTTAAAAGGCAGGTCTTAATGCAAATTAAACTTTAGCATTACCATGTGATGTAGTCTTTCTAACCATTTTGCATGTACATTGATGCAAAATCTCTACATAAGTAGGTACTAGTCTCTAACATTAAATAAATAAGCTGTATGCTGGTTTTTAACTAATTGCCAGATACTGCTTGCACAAATTTAAATTAGGCATGATGTTTCAAAAGAAACTAAAATCTAATCTATTACTGTGAGCAACCAAACTTTCCTAGCCTAGCAAAATGGAAGTGACAGAAGAAAGATGAATTTATCGGGCATTGGAGCATAGGAGGTAATAATAGAAATTTAAACAAGAAATCTACTGGCAGGAGGTTGAATATATCTGCATGATGTAGAAAGATTGTCTGAGCTCAAAAAATAAGATGTTAAAACTGGTGCATATTGACAAATCAGAAACTTTTAAGTGAGTTTTTGAAGTGTCGTAGCCCTGCTTAGTAACCTGTATACAAATATAGCAGAAAAAGGAAAGCTTGGCCAATGTTAACTAGATTTGTTGGTTTTAATTGTATGCCACACCTCCTGCTTTGTCGAAGATGCATTTTCTGCTGTTTTAACAGTTGCCAGAATCTATTCGTCCATTCTGAGTAATGGTCACGGCTGGCAGTTTAAGTAAATAAACTTTATTAAGTATGCACATTTTGGGCAATAACTCGGAACATGAGAAATACACAAAATCCAGTTTTACTTTGCTCCAAGAAATCTTTAGATACCTAATATTTTATTATATGATGATTAATGCTATACACAAAATAATCGTGTGCGCACACACACACAACTGGCTGACCATTAAGCTTTGCAAAATATCTTTTTAGCCCAGTTTGACCTATTTGATTCTAAATTATTGAACCATAATTCACTCTCACTTGGATGTTTCATGTAATCATATGATAATCTTTCCAATATAAATCAATTTCATAAATTACTCACTAATATTTTGAATTTAAAAACACAGTCACATCTTCTAAACAAATAGGAGTGGAAGAAATGTTGCTATATCACTTTCCCTAACTATCTTACATATCTAGCTTTTAAAACTGTAATAAATTACCCTTATGTTACCACACTACATTGTAAAAGGCAGGGCATCATTTTTGGTACTGTTACACTACATATTTCAGAAAATGATAATTCTGTGATTTTTTTTTAATTATATACTTATTATTACAAGATGCCTTAAAAGTAAAGAAAACCCATTTTGTACTAAAGTTACCTACATATATGGCCATTATTACTTCATATCTCTTACAAGTTTGTTGAAAAAGCTAAATATTTGTTTTTACTTGCATAGTTACTTCTATCAAAGTTTTTTTTTTGTTGTTTTGTTTAATTGATAACAGTACTTTGCATTGTATTTAATTGAACTTTATTCCACATCATCACAGTCCATATAACCATATCATCATGCCTAGTCATGCTCTTATAACCGGGCATTTTGAAAATAGCCCTACGGCATAGTTTCCTTTGAGAAAGGTTCCATTGTAAGGCTGTCATATTGAAGGTACCCCTCCCTGTTGGCATGACAATTTCACAGCACCCATTTCAATACTAAGATTGCACCGATATTCATAGGTGCTGCACCTGATAACATAACTGATATGTCTTTGTATGGAATAGCATGAATACTATTTCATTCTTCAGCTATTTGAGACATACTACAGATCAATGGATATGTTGTGTAAGTAACACATGTGACTTTCAGATGGAGATTCTTCTTGGTTATGTTGTGTACTGTTGCCTGGGACACATGGATATCATTTGCTAATGACTTTTATGTTCATAGATTCTCATCTGTTATAAGATGCTATACTTTTACTTGCCATGGCTGGAGTATGACTTGTTCCAGGTCTGTTTCTGAGTGTTCCTTGTACCCTAAGTTGATTCATATTCCTTTTTGGTTCAATGCCATTAAGTAAAAGAGATATCCTGATGTGAATGCATCTTTATGAACCAAGTATGTGAATACTTTGCATTGAAAAGGGCTGTTTCATGTCTTTCCCAAAAGTAGTAAATTTTCAGTGGTATCACACGACCCACGAAATGCCAAGCAATGTTGAATTGTAGTTCTAATAGTTGCCTTTAGTTCTGATCTATGTGGGTAGTTTGATTTGATCAGAATTTAATATTAATTTTCACCATGACTATATTGGCTGTGTTTGTCATATGATTTGCATATTCAAAATCATCTTAATATAACATATTTAACCCTGTATTTACATAAACTGCTCAAATATCATTTTATTAAATTAAATCAGTCCTTAAACATGTATTGATAATAGCATCACAATCAAATAACTTAAAGGAATTACAAGAAAGTTACTTTGACTATCATTTAAATGTTTCCAACAATCATATTTTGTGTAGAGCAATAATTTGCAGTGAGACTTTAATAAACATGTTTAGTAAGTTAAGTTTCTTGTTTTCCTGTATACTAGTATTACATTTGCTGACAAACATTTTACTTTTAGAAACTTTTATTGTGCCTATTACTTGTTTGCTTCTTTCTAAATGTGTGGTTATACCAACCATTAACACACATTTTTACAAACACAAGTTTTTTGACTAATTTATTTAATTTTATGTTATGATTCATAAGAGTATTTTTAACATCAGAGTTGCAGTAATTAATTTTAGTTTTATAGCTCAGTTTATATCTGAAAAAGAAAGTCAAATTATTTTAGTGAAAAATTGGATATTATGTATTTAAACTGTTGTTTAAGTTTTAGTATTTAGTAATTGAAAAATGATTTATTCTTTCTGAATGAATATATATATAACTTGTATTAAAAGAATTTTCAAATGTGCTAATAATGGTAGACATTGATGTTGGTAAGACATAAGACAGCACAAGTTTGTTTATTCATGACAAATATATAATATTTTCAACCTTTTAAAACATTTCAGAATGTGCTGGTAGTAGAAGATATTGTTGATACTGGCAAGACAATGCAAGTGTTATTAGAAATTTTGGAGAAAAAGCAACCAAAATCTATAAAAGTTGCGAGGTACAGCTGTTGGGTTTTTTTATATTTTAAATTATAATCCGTTGTTTTATTTCATGTCCATTCTTGTAAAAAGTACAAAAACTATTTAAGTATCAATATTATTGTGTATCATAATGAGACAAAACTGATATTGTTCATCAGTCCACAAAATTATAATATTAACAAGGAATTTATACATCAGTTATTTTACTTGCATCTACTCGTCAAGGGACAGTCAGTTATGTATGTGGTATCCACTTTCTTCTCATTATTTTAAATATATTCCATCATAGAGGCTGTTAGATTTTATCAATTATGAATTGAAAGTTTTGTAGGATTTATCTACATTAAAACCTGTAATCTAACAATTTTCTTGATAAATTGCATTATTCATTTTGGGACTATTCAACTTGGACCTGAAGAAGGTTTCTGTAAGTTTTAAAGGTAGATAAGTATGGTATTATTTCTTGTTTTCACTGTTCCCATAAGAAGGATTTGTAATGAGTGCTCTAGTGACATCAAATATTTTAGAACAAAATAATCTGCTATTCCAAAAACTTTCTACGTTTGCATTTTTAAATGTTATATTCTGTTCTTTGAAATACAGAATAGAAATGTCGTTATTTCAGTTGTTTCTTGATATCGTTTACCATTTGCTTAAAAATGATGAATGTGTACTCCTACTACAAAATTTACAACTCTCTCTCTCTCTGTGTTAAATTTGAAGACTTATGATAACTGAAGCAGGATCTCATTATTTAGTGTTAAAGTTGCAGATCTAGATTAAATAAGTGTATATCAATAGTTTATCTTTTGTTGTGACATATTAATTTTGTTTGTACTTAATGAATACCTCGGGGATATTAGAAGCATGGAAAATGTATAAAATATGTAGTTGATAGTTGCTTTATATTTGTAGATTTAAGTATCAGTGTTGATTTTCAGCTTGTTAGTGAAGAGGACATCATCAAGTTCAGGATTTCAACCTGATTGTAAGTACGCTGTACTCTCTGCATGTTTCAAGTTAAGCTAGAAGGGCACTCAATAGAGTGAATACCTCTGCCATACAGTGTTGATCATATCTGGCTCTAAAAAAAAAATATGAAAATGTGTCTGTATGCCCATTGCTATCAATGGACCATTTTTGGCAGGATAATGAGGAATAATCAACATATTTTCACCAAGTTTCATCACAATCTGATCATTTTTGACTGAGTCATAGAGCAAAAATAGTGTGAAAAATTGGTCCCCAAGTTAACAGATTTTTGTGACCTTGCTATGACCCTGACCCTCCAAAAACTAATCACTTCTAAGTTGGGTCATAATCCAAATGTATACAAACTTTTGTTCAAATCTATTCAGCTGTTTTCAAGAAATATTGCTAACACATACAGAGGAGTGAAAACAACCTCCATCCACCTTCAGTGGCAGAGATAATTATGATAATATTTTTTTTACATAATATCTGGTGACATTTAGTCACCTACAAAATTTACATATTTTTTCTACTATGATGAAACCAAATCTTTGCAACATTCACAGTGGTCATGTGAACTATGAAACAAATGCTTGATTAAGAAACAAAAGTCATAAAATTGAAACAAGTTTTTATCAAGTGGGCTAACATTTAGGTGTTTGTTTGATTACCTTTTGGAAAATGTTGAAGTTACGAAGAGAATAATAATGATTTTTGGCTTTAAACGTGATACAGTTAAGAAGCCATCATTATGCTTTTGCCCCATCTCTTACTGACCAGTTAAACCTATAATATACATAGTTTAACATGTAAAACTATATTATTTTATTCAAAATTCTTTTCCTAATATATATGTATAGCTTATGTTCAGAAAAAGTGTTAAATTGTTTTATTACCTCTGCTACCAAAGTTGGGCAGAGGTTATATTTTTACTCCTGTGTGTTTATCAGCAATATTTTTCGAAAATGGCTGAATGAATTTGGACAAAAGTTGGTATACATTTGGACTAAGACCAAAGTTAGAAGTGATTAGTTTTTAGAGGGTTAAAGGACAAGGTCTCAGTGAGGTCTCAAACCCAAAAAATCCCAATTTGTTAATATCGGGACCAATTTTTCACACTATTTTTGCTTTATAACTCAGTCTAAAATGATCAGGTTTTGATGAAACCTGGTGAACATGTGTAGAATATTATTTCCCATTGTCCTGCTAAAAATGGTTTGTGTCCATTGATAATGACAGACACATGTACAGATTTTTGTATTTCTTTAAGGTCTGAATATGATCAATGCTGCATGGTGAAAGTATGCTCTCTACTGAGTGTACTTCTAATTCAGCAAATCTTTTTGTTGTCTTCAAAATCTGAAAATATTTGATTTTGTAAACAAAAAGTGTTCTTTCATTATCATTATCTTAAATGTGTATGAAGTAACTTTTGACGAGAAATAATAGAATATTTACAGAAACAAGTCATGTCTAACCTTAAAATAGTCTGATACTATATGTACTTTTTGTTATGCATTTTTTCTGTTAAATTGGCAAAAATCATTGTATAACTGTAACAGTTATCTTTTTGTTGTTACAGTAAATCAGATGATGCACCCCCACATTTCACTCTGAACCACTCCAGTTCATTTTCCCCTAAGAGATTAAACATCATATTATCAATTTTAAAAATCTGTGGATTTTTTTTTGTCCTGAATCACTTGGAAGTGTCAACAAAGCTTCACCCCCCCCCCCACCCATATTTGGTATCTCCTTATCTAGAACAGAATAACAACATTTTTTATGATAATCAACTAAAACCTTTTTTACTGCTTGAAACATAATTTTTTTTTTCTTCACAGATGTGGGATTTGAAATCCCAGATCGATTTATAGTTGGCTATGCTCTGGACTACAATGAGTATTTTAGAGATCTAAATGTAAGTAAATATTCACACTTGTCTTGAAGTGCTTAGTTTAGGTTTATTGTCTGTGAAATATATCTGCTTGTATATATGTGTGTTTATAAACAAAAGTGTTATTCCTCATTGAGCTTCTCGTGACTGATCTCTTAAAACAATTGTTACACAACAGTTGAGCTTTATTTTTCTTGTGTAAAACAAATATTGTATATTAAGTTTGTTGCTACTCTGCCCTTGTGTGAGTTAATCTATTTATTTGTCCTATAGGGTCAGAAATTTTAGCATAAAAGTATGAGGTTTTATAGTCAACTTTAATCTAAAATGAGGGATACTGTAAACAACTCTAATAAGTGCATGTTTTTGTTTGTTTGTTGCTGCAACATTAAATGGTTTATGTTAATAGTTTAGTGTTTAATTTAAAGTATTTTGTTGTTTTTTTTCTATGTAACAAATATTTAAATGATCAATATATGAAAACAATTTCATTTAGATAATTAAAACTAAGGTTAGATAAATGTATACATAATTATTGAAGTTGCATAATACAAATTAAAAATTTAATTTCTGACAGTATTGAGCTTGTTATCAGTTTTACAAACTCGAATAGGAAATAAAACTAATTAAATGGTGTAGCGACTTGTGTGCTTCACTATATAGCAATGCAACAAAATCGACTTGCTTATATGCAATTGTTTCTTTGTGCTTTATTTTGAACTACAAGATTGGTAAAACAGAGGTATTGCTTCTCAAGTATTTCAACTTCACATGGTATGTATCTTATAGGCATCATTATATCGTTTGAGTTGGAGGAAATATCTTCTTTACCGACTTGAAATTTATTTTTGTTTGTTGAGAGATCATTAAATCTTTACCAGAATAAAACAATTAACTGCAAAGGACTAATATATATATAAAAATCTGAAAACTTCAATGTTTTTCCCATTTTAGTAAAAGTTGAACTTCAAAGCACATGTAGCCTGGTGTTGGCAAGGCTCATAATAATGTTGAAATATCTTAGGAAAACGACTAAAGCAATTGCGTGTCTGTGTGAGAATCTAAAGAAAATTGTGTGTCCAAATTGTTTACTTCAGATTTTGTCATTAATAAATAATATGTAACTTTCTTTATTCACACTTGGACCATTGTCAGAGTACTAAGTTTTATATAAGCTTGTGTATTACCAATAAAACCAGTATCAAAAGATATTTTTAGAAAGAATGTTAGATGGTGAATAGCCTAAGTGAACCATTGCAGAATCTGAAAATAAATTGTACATTCTAGGTTTTAACAAACTCTAGAGAAATATTAATGATATCAACATCTATCATAAAATAAGTAATTATTTAATCCATGCCCTAAATGTACAAAAAAAATACATTTGTAACAAGTTTAGTTTCATTAAGGAGTAAAAATTCATGTATTTCTATGTACTTCAGCTTAGCAAGGAAACTTTCATATTAATTTCTTTAAATTTATTTGAATTTTAGTTATTTATTTGAACTTGTTTTAGCTATTAGGAAAACGTACAATGTGTGCTGCAGCTTAACAAAGACTTTCATATTCATGATAAAATTGTTTTTGGATTGTAGTGTTTTAACATTTCCATAATGAGACATTCTTGTTATGTAAAGCAGTATCTGCACAGTAATGTGCACTTAAGCATAGCACAGGATATCTTGTATTGCATTTAAAAGTGGATGGATTTAAAGATGCTGCTTAATGTGCATGTCAAAATGTTGGAGAAGTATTGAAATATGAAAAACAATTTGGGAAAGAGATGATATAAAATACGTCTGCATATATTTTTTTTGGTGATGAGTCATGGATTCAAGGTATTACGAAAGTTAACTATCTTGTTAAAAAGTAGTGTAACACTGTATGCTATTACAATTATACAAGTTTGCAGTTATGAGTGTGGTAATGATGTAGAAAAACCTAATTAAGTTATATGCATAATTAAGAAGAAAAGTTTGCTAAAACTTGACATTTAGTCTTTTTTTTTTACTTATTTCAACTCTGAAACTTTATTTTTCTTTTCTCTGTTGCAGCATGTGTGTGTCATCAGTGAACATGGAAAACAAAAATATTCCAACCATTCAAATTAACTTAAACATGAAAATTTATAAGAATGTTTTTCAGGAAGTTTTACTTCCACATTAGGTTAATCTATTTGCTAAGTTTTTGAAGGTTAAACATTAACCAGTTTATCTGTGATCACTGTACTCCAATTTATTTTATTTATAGATTTTTTTTAATCATTGTTTGTCTGCTCATTAAACATGTAATACAGTGTAGCAAGTTGTCATAATTTACCAAAGCTGTCATTTTTGTCTTGCAATCTTGGGAAAACTTGTGAAAGTTTAGTGGTAATATCACTTACTATATGGTTAAAGATTTTTAAGTGATTTTACTAGTTATTGATTTCAATGTAAAAAATCAAGATTAATGTGTTTAATTTAAATAAAACATTTAAGAAAGTGGAAAGCAAAGAAATCCAGAATTAAAGTGCTTGGAACTGCAACTGAACAAATTTTATGAAAACTTAAACACCTTACCTCAGTATTTTAACATGACTTTTTTACAAGAATATTAACTATATGTTTAAACTTGTATATTGAAAAACTATTACATATGTTTGTTAATAGTTAACCTATTTCAGAAAGCTATATAAAATACATTTATTGGGCATGCATTTGTAGTGTTAACAGTTTTTCTCTACAGTTTAAAAGAACTTAGACTAGGAGTTTATTTTGATCATACTTATAGTCTATCCCTGTTATCTGCATTTATTTTCACACATGCTTGTTTCTCATCTTTATGACAAATTTTAATGAATATACAGGAGAGTTTCAAACAGAAATTACATTGGAATTGTGATAACCATTTAACATGACTGATACAAATACATTTGTAGAGGGTTTAGCCTTCAGTAATTAGCATCCATATACTTGTACAGGGGTGTATGAGTATATGAATGCTAATTACGTACATGTGCATCAAGTTGTGAATTTTCTAAGATTGTTAACTTTTACCAAAAACTTTTTGAAAGCTTCATATTTAACTATTTTATCTGAATGATGTGTCAGTGGGTAATTTCTGTTTTCATAAATATTGAATACTTTTCAAAACTCATTGCAAGAAAAGAAAAAAGCTTTTGTTTCAGAATAATACTGAAAAGTGTAATTTCTAAGCAGTAAGAAATGTTTTTTTGCACTTAAGTTATTTGTTTAATATAAGGAAGTCCTCTGTGTTGCAAGCAGTAAGTCATGTTTTCTATAGTTTATATTCTTCATAATAATAAATACACTTGTATTTTCATTAAAAAAAAAAGCAGTAAGAAATATTCTTTATATTGGATTTTATATTATGTGTTTCTGTATGAATATATACAGTAAGTCAAAAATATTCTTTATACTTTATTTATATTACCTTTTTGTATAAATATGTACAAGAGCAACCCAATGGTTAGTGTGCCTGGACCTTTTAACTGAAATTCTGTGGTCTCATCCTGTTATAACCAAAAAATAACTTGGAGCCATGGGTGTGTCATAAGAGTGGCAGTTTAATTCGATAACTTGGTCTCAAAACAAGAGCAGCCTGAGAGTTGGTGGTGTCGACTACGTCTCTTCTTTACAGTCTATCAATTTAAAATTAGGGACATCTAGCACAATTAGCCCTTGTGTAGCTTTTTACAATATGATAACTGTAATTATATACTTGTTTTGTTGGATCTTTATAACTTGCTTTATACATGATATTAATAAATATTGTTTAAAATAACACAACAATGTTGTCATATTATAATCATTAAATCAAACTGAATTGTACTTAGCTTACTCCTTAATTCTCTACTCAAATGAATTTAAGTATATATATGGTATAAAGGTTCATTTTGATTGTTTCATTTTAAGCATTGTTGAGTCTTCATAGAAGTGAACTGATGGTTTGGTTAAATAAGGCTCCATGCAATATCTCTTTTAACAGAGGGTTCTGATTTCAAGTTTATTCCCTTCAATGATAATAAATTTGTAATTATTTTTTTTAACTATTAGTAGTTTTAGAAATTTTTGATGCATATGTTTATAGAAAGATTTGAATTGTTTTGAACATTCAAACTTTGACTATTTTTTTGTGTTGACCATTCATAGGTAACGGTGAAGTTAAGTAAAATTAAATGTTTATTTAAGATTTTGAAATGTATAAGTACATTTTGTAAAGTGAGCTTCAATGTGTTGAAATTGTTCAAAAGCCATATTAATTTGGAGTGATGCAACATAATTTTTGTTTTCAATAATAAATTACTGTTTAAGTCGACTCTTCTTTAAGGCAACATATGTTTAAATTCTACAAAAAAATAGTTGAGTATAAATTAAAAATAAGATACTTTTCTGTAAATAAATTTTTGCTATAATTTTAGTTGTTGATTTGTATATTTTCTAAGTGTGAAACAGAATAATAAAAAAATTAACTTTAATTATTATGTTGACAATTTAAGATACATTTATAATAGTTTGTTCTTTTTAAATACAATATTTATAAATTCTTAGGCTCACTGCAATAACTGGTTTTGTTGAAAGTTTGTTTAATCATGGTATTCATTTGTTTAGGCTTAGGATAAGTGCAGTAACCTTAGTTTCTTAGGACTTAGTAGTGTGTGTGTAGTCAAGATATTTAGTTGTTTATGTGTAGAAAAATTACCAGTTTTCTTTTTTTATGTTTGAAATCATTTTCATCTCTGAGAGCATGTTTATTGAGATGAACTTTCTGAATAAAGATCATAAAATGTTTGAGGCTTTGGTTCTATTTTGCTAACTGGTGACTATATTTTGAATAAAATAAAATGTTAGTCTTCTTTATACTGTAATATCCAAATTATTTTCTATGTACGTCTTCAAATACGATTAATTACTGATGCACTAACTGACCATTGGAACTAGCAAATCTTGCATGTTTGAAAATTTAACCCGGTTATGTTTTAGCCTTCTTATGTATTCAAGATTTGACTGCATTTGAAGTGGAGCTATTAATAATGTACAACGTTATATAGCTTGGATTAATAAGAGATATGACAATGCTTTCATCCTCTAGAACTTAATTTTTTAAATTAGTAACAAAATCTGGGACACTTTATTTTTGTGAAAATTCATTTGTTGTGTTAATGGATCTTTAATAAGGAATTGTTTTGCAATTATCCCTGATCAAAAGTAACCCTCAGCTATAAAAGTTTTTTTGGGCAACAAATTGTTATACAAGTGCTATTCAACTGAGGAATTAATCAAAGACAAATTAAGACAAAAATTCCTTGTGAAAAAGTAATAATCTATGCCTTAATATTTTGCTCAATAGGATTTTTTAAAAGAACATAATATTTTTGATTTCATATGCTGTACCATATTTACCATCTTGCACAAAGTAAACAATTCAAAATGCAAAACATATATAGGGCTGAGAATGTTGTATTAAAATGATTTTGAATATGTAAATTGGCAAATCATAATAAAACCACAGCTAAGAAAGTTGCAGTGGAACAGCATATACCAGAACTGCATTTTGACATTTTGTAAGTTGTTTGATGCCACAGAAAATTGATCATTTTTAATGCAAGATATTTATAAACTCATATCATAAAGATGTGTTCAGATTGGGGATTTAGAAAATTTCTAAGATGAGAATATCCCTTGTACTTGATGGCATCATAAAACAAAGGAATATGATTAAATTTGGAGCACCAGGGCCATTGAGAAAGAAATATACAACAAGTCACAGCCACGTTAAGAAGAGTGCGAAGCCTTGTAAGAGTTGAGTCCATGAACATGCAGTTCAGTGTGAAAAACCATTCATTTGTCCCAGGAAACAACATAATGAATAAGGATCTTTCTCTGGAAAAGTTAAACAGCAGAAAACCTCAAGGAATTGTAAAATATGAGTTTTCATGCTAGTCCATATGAAGACATACTAATCAAGTTACCATATGCAGCACCTCTGAATATCTGTCCAATTAGATTATCAATATAACCACTGGGAAACAGTCATCTTCATACATGGTTTATAGTGAGTGAGTAGTGTTGTGCTCTGGACATGACATCCTTATGACAGAGCCTTTTTTGTAGTGGATACTACACTGTAGGTCTGTTGCCAAGAGATATGGTTGCTAAATATAGCTTGATTGGATGTAACAACATGGGTTGTAATGACATCAATACTTATAACAACAGCCCTTGTGTATCCTTTCAATAAAATATAAAATGACGACATCAACATTTCCACATGCATAATAATCTTACTTGTACAAAACTGATTGGGATAATGTGAAATTACTTATACAGGTTAAGTTAATAAACAAATTCAATGTAAAAGAATCTCTTAAATTGTTAAAAATAAACTTGATAAGTTTTAATAGATTTAGGTCCAGGTGCCATGGAAGTTTATTTCTGGAATTTGCTTTGGTAAATGGCACTATTATACAATATGCTAATTATAAATGTACATTTCCTCAAGTACATAAAACATCATGTTCTCCTTTGTCTCCTGAAGATAGTGGATCATTTTGTTCACTGAAACATTTAGGATGTTTTTTAACCTTATACAAATAATATTATTATTGGTGTCATCATTTTATGTTTCACTGTAATTGTGTGCTGAGACTGCAAAATCATTTTAATATATTGTACTCAAACTTTATAGTAGTAGTAGAAACATGAACAATACTGATTTTATTTGCAGCAGTGTTTCAAGGAAGTACTGTACAAACATGGTCTGTTTAATTTGCTTGTATGAATTATAATTTAACATGTAAATGCTACTTAAGGAAAAGTGGGGTCAGTTAGAACTAAATTCAAAGCACTAACTTTGGATAGTTTTCACCTTGTATGAATTGCTTTTTGTTAGAATGGTCTATTTAAAGAGGTTACTTTAATAAAAGTCAAAAACTAGTTCTCATACAGCTTTGTGTATTTTCCTAAATTTGAGAAACTGCACTATAGCTTATTGGCAAAATAAGATTTTTTTTTTGGTAAAAGCATAGATGTTTTCGTATACCATGGAAATAAGTCCAAGCAAAAACACTGGGTAAGTAATTTAAGTATGAACAAAGATACTGAATAAGTATCTAGAAATATCTGTATGGACTCTGAAATAAGGTTTAAAGATATATTTTAATGGTTTGAATCTTACTGCCTGACACATAGGACAGAAGAGACACATGCCTTCCCTCCTTTTCTCTCCTGTTAATATACATACACTGTTATTAGCAACTGTGATAAAACAGTTTAGCTTTTTTTACATACACCCCACT